CATCTTAAAGGGACAAGTCAGAGGATACCCTCACCAGCTTTGGGTTGTCTAAGGAACAGACGTCTGTCTCTCCGAGCTCATGCTCTGTGGCTCTCATGACTCAGGGCTGGTGGAGCCCACAGAAGGGCCCTCTGCTCTGAAGTCCTCAGAGGCAGAGGTGGTTTCCAAGGCTGCCCACCTTCCCTCATGCAGCCTCCAAAGATTGGCACCACGGGGGCCGTGAGAACATCCTGCTCTGCACTGACTGCCGCATCCACTTCAAGAAGTACGGTGAGCTGCCACCCATCGAGAAGCCTGTGGACCCCCCGCCCTTCATGTTCAAGCCTGTCAAGGAGGAGGACGATGGGCTCAGTGGGAAGCATAGCATGAGGACACGGCGGAGTCGGGGCTCGGTGAGCTGGGGGCCTGGTGCTGGGGGCTCGAGCCCACTAGAGCTCAAGTGAGAATTGGTTTTAGGCAGAAACACATTCTTGCTGGTGCTGCTCTCCCTGGAGGCTTATGGAGTTGGGGCCATTGAGCTTAGTTTTGGGGGAACTCATTGCTCTCAGTTTGTAGTCCAGTGCCAGCTCCCCAGGTCCCTTGCCGTATGCATCCAGTGGACATGTCTACTTTGCAAACGTTTGATTCTACATCAGAAGTTTTTACATAGGTTCTTTAGTGAAGACTGGTCCAGTTGGTCATGGTAGCTCCTGTCTATAATCGTAGCACTTGAGAAGCTATTCTACATTAGAAGTTTTTACATAAGTTCTTTAGTGAAGATTAGTCCATTTGGTTGTGGTAGCACTTGAGAAGCTATGGCAGAAGCGTTGCCGTAGATTCAAGGCCATCCTGGCTCTGGAGTGAGTCTTTGTCTTTAACAAATATAGCAGTGGCAGCAGCTTTGTTTAATATGGTTGGGAACGTGTCTGGAACTGTGAGTGGGGGGTTGCTTTGAGACTTGGGACTGTGAATACCAAGGGATCCTCTCTCCGACACTGACCTGGCCTCTCTGAGGGCCTTTCTGGCACGTGGATAGGATGGCTCACCCTCCTGTATCCTAACCTCAGCTGAGCCCTGTTGCAGGCCAGGCAGCTGTGGGAGATAAACTGCAGTATAAATACAGCCTTGTCTTCCTGGGTGACTTCCTGTCCTGTTTGATTAACTCCACAAATGTTCGGTGGTGTAGTTTGTTGAGCACAGACAGTTGCCTGAGAAAGGGTGAGGATCTTTAAAGTAAACAGTCAGCCCTGCTCATTTCCACAGTAGCCCCTCAGGATATGTTTCTGGGTTTGAGTGAATTTGTGAACATACTGTTTATCCTACCTTGCCAGTGGATAGACTTGGGTGAGCATCTGTGGGGCCTGGGGGTCCATTCTCTCCATCCTTGATTTTGGAGGGACAGATGTCTACACTACGCAGTGGTCGGAAGAAGCAGCCCGCCAGTCCTGATGGCCGCGCCTCACCTATCAATGAAGACATCCGGTCCAGTGGCCGGAACTCCCCCAGTGCTGCTAGCACTTCCAGCAATGACAGCAAAGCAGAAACGGTGAAGAAGTCAGCCAAGGTCAGGGGCTGAGGGTGCAGTGGGAGCTTCATGGTCCCTCCCTCCCATTGGGCAGTGACATTGCCCTGACTTAGAGGCTGCTGATGGATGCCTAGAGCCTAGAAAAATGGGGAAATGGTTCCTCTGCCACAAGTTTTCCAAGGCCCCAGAAACTCAAAATGCAGTGGCTGGAAAGGCTCCTAAAGCCAAGGACTCTCATCCCTGGACAGCAGCCCCTTTGGGCCCTCATTGAAGAACATTCTTGTGTGTGGAGATGGGGCTCAGAATGGGGAAGTGTACCCACAAACCGTCACTTCTCTGCTTCCCTGCAGAAGGCGAAAGAAGAGGCTGCTTCCCCTCTGAAGAGCACCAAGCGCCAGCGGGAGAAGGTGGCCTCTGACACAGAGGAGCCTGATAGGACCACCTCCAAGAAGACAAAGACCCAGGTGAGGCTCCTGTGACCCCAGCCCCCACACGGTCTTGGGTTATCCTAACTCTAGGCAAGAGCTACCTCTGCATAGACCCTGGTTGTGCTCTGTGGGTTAGCAGTGTGGGGTTGAGCTCTGCTTCCTAGTGCTTCCATGTCTTGCTTCTCTGGCTTTAGGAGATCAGCCGCCCCAACTCTCCCTCTGAAGGTGAGGGGGAGAGTTCGGACAGTCGCAGTGTGAACGATGAGGGCAGCAGTGACCCGAAAGACATCGACCAGGACAATCGCAGCACGTCCCCCAGTATCCCCAGTCCTCAGGACAATGAGAGTGACTCGGACTCGTCAGCACAGCAGCAGACACTGCAGGCCCAGCCCCCCTCCTTGCAGGCTCCCAGTGGGGCTGCCTCAGCTCCCTCTGCCCCTCCAGGAGCACCCCAGCTTTCTACCCCAGGGCCCACACCCTCTGCCACTGCAGTCCCTCCACAGGGCTCCCCTGCAACCTCACAGCCCCCTAACCAGACTCAACCTGCTGTAGCAGCTGCCCACACGCACATCCAGCAGGCCCCCAGCCTGCACCCACCTCGGCTACCCTCACCTCATCCTCCACTGCAGCCTCTGACTGCACCGCCTAGCCAGAACTCCACACAGCCTCACACCCAGCCCTCCCTGCATGGTCAGGGCCCACCTGGCCCTCACAGCCTGCAGGCTGGATCCCTGCTACAACACCCAGGGCCACCTCAGCCCTTTGGACTTCCTCCCCAGGCCTCCCAAGGCCAGGGCCCTCTGGGCAGCTCCCCAGCAGCTCATCCTCATAGCACCATACAGCTTCCAGCCTCCCAGTCAGCACTGCAGCCCCAACAGCCCCCAAGGGAACAGCCCCTGCCTCCTGCACCCTTAGCCATGCCCCACATCAAACCCCCACCCACCACACCGATTCCCCAGCTTCCAGCACCACAGGCCCACAAGCACCCACCCCACCTCTCAGGGCCCTCCCCCTTCTCGATGAATGCCAATCTGCCACCACCTCCAGCCCTGAAGCCCCTCAGCTCCCTGTCCACACACCACCCTCCTTCAGCCCACCCTCCACCCTTACAGCTCATGCCACAGAGCCAGCCCCTGCCCTCCTCCCCTGCCCAGCCTCCTGGGCTGACCCAGAGCCAGAACCTACCACCCCCTGCTTCCTCCCATCCCCCCACCGGCCTCCACCAGGTGCCCTCCCAGTCCCCATTCCCCCAGCACACTTTTGTGCCTGGAGGCCCCCCTCCCATCACCCCACCCGCCTGCCCCTCCACTTCCACCCCACCTGCGGGGCCCAGCGCCTCCTCACAGCCCCCCTGCCCTGCTGCCGTTTCTTCGGGAGGCAGTGTTCCAGGGGCGCCATCTTGCCCACTCCCTGCTGTGCAGATCAAAGAGGAGGCTCTGGATGAAGCAGAGGAGCCAGAGAGCCCTCCTCCACCCCCCAGGAGCCCATCCCCTGAGCCCACTATAGTGGACACCCCCAGTCATGCTAGCCAGTCCGCCAGGTACTGGTTCAGGGGGCTGTAGGCCTGGCTGGGTGTGGGAGGGTTTGGTGGAGGTGAGGGAGGGTGTGGGCAGCCCCCAGAAGCCCAAGCCCAAGCCGCCGCCGCATCTCTAGGTTCTACAAACACCTGGACCGTGGCTACAACTCGTGTGCACGAACAGACCTGTACTTCATGCCTCTGGCTGGATCCAAGCTAGCCAAGAAGAGGGAGGAGGCCATTGAGAAGGCCAAACGCGAGGCTGAACAGAAGGCCCGGGAAGAACGGGAACGGGAGAAAGAGAAGGAGAAAGAGCGAGAGCGGGAGAGAGAGCGGGAACGGGAGGCAGAGCGAGCTGCTGTGAGTCCTGAAGGCCTGTCTTCAGCCAGGGCGTGGTGACAGGGGTTTGTCCCAGGCTGCTGGTGTGTTCTTTAGGTCCAGTGGCACCCATGCCCAAGCTTTCTGAAGGCACTAAGCCATTGTCTAGCCTGACTGATGGGCCTGACCTTCCCCTGCAGCCTATAGGCGTCTGCCTCATCCATAATCCCTGGGGTATCAGAGAGACTTGGGGTTGGGGGAGACACTTGGAGGGAACCCTAAGCATGGGCTCGAGGGGCTGGGCTGTGCAGGGAGGGTATCCTGCTGTGAAGTGGTGTTGTGGGCCCGGGTGTCTGCTGCCTGCTTGAGGGAAGCCAAACCCTACAGTGGCGTGAGAGACTGGACGCTAGGTTTCCTGGCTGCTGGGCCCCCTGGGGCACGGGCACTTACATATACCCCCTGAGGAATAGGGGAGCAGCAGGCAGGCAGGCAGGCACAGTGCAGAGTGTTGTAGCAGCGTCTAGACTGTCCTGGGACCTGGACCTGGCTAAGGTGCCCTGTTTCTATGTTGGGGTAAAGGAGCTAAACGGGCTTGACATTGCAGCAGGACAAGGGCCTATCTCTGGGGCGAGCACCAGTCTTAGACCCCAGGTGGCTGGCACCCGCCCTCATACTCTCTTTCCTTGAGCAGAAGGCATCCAGCTCAGCACATGAAGGCCGCCTTAGTGACCCTCAACTCAGTGGTCCTGGCCACATGCGACCCTCCTTCGAGCCACCGCCGACCACAATTGCCGCCGTGCCCCCGTACATTGGGCCTGACACACCGGCCCTCCGGACACTGAGCGAATACGCTCGGCCTCATGTCATGTCTCCCACCAACCGCAACCACCCCTTCTACATGCCCCTTAATCCCACTGACCCCCTGCTGGCCTACCACATGCCTGGCCTCTACAATGTTGACCCCACCATCCGGGAGCGGGAGCTCCGAGAACGAGAGATCCGGGAGCGAGAGATCCGGGAGCGGGAATTGCGGGAGAGGATGAAGCCAGGCTTTGAGGTGAAGCCACCGGAGCTGGACCCCCTGCACCCAGCCACCAACCCCATGGAGCATTTTGCCCGGCACAGCGCCCTCACCATCCCTCCTGCAGCTGGCCCCCACCCCTTTGCCTCTTTCCACCCGGGCTTGAACCCTTTGGAGCGGGAGAGACTGGCACTGGCAGGTCCTCAGCTACGGCCTGAGATGAGCTACCCAGACAGACTGGCAGCTGAGCGCATCCACGCTGAGCGCATGGCGTCTCTCACCGGCGACCCCCTGGCCCGGCTGCAGATGTTCAACGTCACTCCG